CCACAAGAAGTGGTGTCCTGGTTCTCAAGAAGGAACAGCAGTGATGTGCAGCAAGAATTCCTGCCGGCGAGAAGCCAGTTCCGTAATACTATCCCTCTCAAATGTCACAGCAGTTAACTGGAAGTAATTTATTCACCCACTCCCCACCCTTCCCTAGCTCCCCTCCCCCAGTCTCTCCCCCCCCCTCCCCCAGCCCGCTTCCCCAACCTACCCACCCCCACCTTGCCCCATCTCCTGCCTCCGGGCGACGTCGCAGTATCCTGTTGAGGCGCCTGAAGGAGGGTATTCCCGGGACGAGGAAGACGTAGGAAAGGGATTACACAAGGCGACGAACACATTCCTTTGGAATAATCATGGAGGTTTATGTTGTTGGCCGGGGTCTGGGCACTGTTCCCGGTATGCGCGTGTGTGCATGCGAGCGTGTGCACGGAGGTATGTCTGCGAGGGAGGGGCTTATCGTGTGAGGGAGGGAGGGAAGGAGGAAGAGAAGGAGGGAGGGATTGTAGGAAGAGATGTAAAGAAAATCAAGAACAATACAGTGGCAGCCAGTCATCCCAGCAAACTAACAGACAAATCCCTCTCCAAAAATGTAAAAGTGTAAACTCTTAAACAAAAACGAGTCCCTCCCCAATACAAACACACACATATGTAAATTACAAACAAAGAAACAAACGCAGCTGCACGCACTTCCTCCTCTCCCATACCTGTAATCAAGAAGAAACAAAAACAGAAATAAGGCCTTTTAATCCAGCCATTTTCCACTAAACTTCACAAACACTCGTCGTGAGCCTTCCTCGCTGTCGCGTCTGGACATTACCCAAGACTGTACGTGACAAGGAGGATCCTCTTAACACACACACACACACACACACACACACACACACACACACACACGCACACGCACACGCACACGCACACGCACGCACACACACACACACACACACACACACGTTTGGTGTGAGTTGATATCACACCAAACCTGTCTCCTGAAGCCCACATAAAGAGAATAACGTCTGCGGCATATGCGAGGCTGGCTAACATCAGAACGGCGTTCAGGAACCTGTGTAAGGAATCATTCAGAATCTTGTACACCACATATGTAAGACCAATCCTGGAGTATGCGGCCCCAGCATGGAGCCCGTACCTTGTCAAGCACAAGACGAAGCTGGAAAAAGTCCAAAGGTATGCTACTAGACTAGTCCCAGAACTAAGAGGCATGAGTTATGAGGAAAGGCTGCGGGAAATGCACCTCACGACACTGGAAGACAGAAGAGTAAGGGGGGACATGATCACAACCTACAAAATCCTCAGGGGAATCGACCGGGTAAACAAGGACGAACTTTTCAACACTGGTGGGACGCGAACAAGGGGACACAGGTGGAAGCTGAGTACCCAAATGAGCCACAGAGACGTTAGAAAGAACTTTTTCAGTGTCAGAGTAGTTAGCAAATGGAATGCATTAGGAAGTGATGTGGTGGAGGCTGACTCCATACACAGTTTCAAATGTAGATATGATAGAGCCCAATAGGCTCAGGAATCTGTACACCAGTTGATTGACGGTTGAGAGGCGGGACCAAAGAGCCAGAGCTCAACCCCCGCAAGCACAATTAGGTAAGTACAATTAGGTAAGTACACACACACACTCATACACACAGAAGCCGGAAACAAGCGGGCCTTCAGGCAAGCTGCATGACAGGCAGGCAGTCAGACAAGCAGGCTGACAGGCAGTTAGACAGGCAGACTGACAGGCACTGTATCAGGCAGGCTGACAGGCAGTTAGACAGACAGGTTGACAGGTAAGCAAGCAATTAGGCAATCAGAAAAGCAGGCAGTCATTGAGGAAAGTTCCTTAATGGGCACTTGGGCAGGCAGGTTAACTGGTAGGCAGACAGCCAGGCAGGCAAGAAAGCAGACAGGCAAATAGGCAGGAAGCCTGGCAGAAAAAGACGCAGACAGGCAATAACGCAGACAGGCAGACAGGTACAGAGGAAACAAGACAAAAAACGGAACTTCTCACAGTGGCTTCAATACCTAAAAGCGCCCAGAGCGGTAAAACCAAGGCCGACGTTCGCAGTTCCTCCATTGCTCCTCCTCCAAGGACGACATCTGAATGGTTAATTGCTCAACCGTGAGACCTAAGCTGTGAGAAGCGACATTATCGGCTATTTGGGTGTAATTCTGATAATTAAAACCCCCCACAATTGTTAGACTGCTTAGGCTCGTTAGTTGGTTTATTAACATGTTTAAGATTCACGGGTTAATAGAGCAATTACGACCAAAATTATTCACAAACAGCCGAACAGTTATTCGAACTGAAATTCTCAGATTATGTTGTTAAATTGGATTAATTTTATTTTAGATTGAAATTGCAAGTTGTGAAGGTTCGATTTTCTGCTTAGTTTAGCGTAAATATCATGTTAAATAGGTAAAATGCGAAACGTTTTCAGCAAGGATGGTTGGCCAGTCAAGGGTGATTGGGTAATTAAGGATGGTTGGGTAACCAAGGGGTGATTGGGTAACCAAAGGTGGTTCAATACATTGCACATGGTTCTTGATATCTTGATACATATGACGATGTGTTCTGTAAAGCTGTTCATTGTGTACTTGTGACGTCATGCGTTGATATGTGTTGTCACATGCTCTGTCACTTCCCTCTAACTGTATTCCGTTAACTGCTTCATGGTAACTGTAGCTTTGGTAACTGTATCCCGGAAGCTGTATTTTGGTAATTGTTTCATTGTAAATATATCCTGGTAACTTTATTCTAGTAGCCATATCCCAGTAATTGTATCCTGGTAACTGTATCCTAGTAATTGGTAATTGTATTCTGGTAACTGTATTCCAGTAACTGCATCCTTTTAATTATATTCCGAGGGCTGTATATAGGTAATTGTACTACAATAACTGTATTCTGGTAACTGTATCATGTAATTGTATGCTGGTAACTGTACCCCAGTAACAGTATTCTTGTGTTTAATGAATAACTGCAGTTCAGGTGTCACTAAAACTGCAGATTAAGCACTGTATCCTGTATTGGTGCCACTTATTCTTAGTTTCACACTATGCCCATTTTCTTAGGTACCATGTTCTTAGTTTGGTACCATGATCTTAATTGCCACCATGTTCTTAGTTGAACACAATGTTCTTAATTGACACCATGTTCTTAGTGTGGTACAGTGATCTTAGTTGGCATTATGTTCTTAGATTGATACCATGTTCTTTACTTAGCACTATGTTCTTAGAGTGGCACCAAGTTCTTAGTGTGACACCATGTTTTAGTTTTGCCCCCCTTGTTCTTCATTTGCGACCATGTTCTTCATTTAACATTGAGTTCCCCCTTAAGGAAACGTTTGTACACATTATCTAAGACCATCAACACACACACAACATTCACCACAAATCCTCCACTCATCACACATCATCACCATTCATCACACACCTCCACCATTCATCACCATCCAGCTATAGCAAGCGACACTCACCATCACTCATCACCACATAATGAAGACAGTAATTTGCTGTAATCTGCGCGACACCATCATTGCCCCTCGTCACGAAGTCATTGATCATTGTTGGCGGTAAGTCAGGATCTGTAATGCAACAACAGTGTCACGAACCTATATTAATCATTACAAAATGATCATTAATGGGCATTAGAACAGCATGTCAGGATAATATATTTACTGGAGTGCATTCACTATAAAAACCAGATTGTATACGATACACTCGTCATGTACATATATAAGTAACAAAATCTAAATCGAGATGCAATGTATATATATATATTTACTCCTCAGGGCCGACGATGTATATAGCGTGTGAAATATTGGCTCTAGTCAGCGAGTATATATTGATGTGACTGATCCCACCGGACAGTCACTATTGAGAGCATTTTCATGACGATATGTAGAGTGGTTCCTAGTGTGTCTGTTGATGACAGCTCTTTACTCTTGGGGTGTGATCTGTCCCCAAGTTCTCAAGACACTCATTATGCCTTGATGTTTCTCATCGTTATCATTTACATCTTCGCTGTAAATGATGTACGTCATTTAAAGATGATGTACATCATTTGTACATCATTGATGAAGATGTAAATGATACATCCTCGCTGTTTTCACAGTCACCTGCATCAGTCGCCCTTCATCACTATTGAAACTCATTATCGCGGCTCACTGTCATTCATACTACTATCACCATTTTTATCATCACTGGCATAGAGGGGGCGACAACATTATCTTTCTCACCCTCGACCACCATCAACACGCCCGTCATCATCCAGGTTTGTCATCCTTACAGCAAACCCCCACTGCAACCACCATTAGCACCACCACAACCACCATTAGCACCACCACAACCACCATTATCACCACCACAACCACCATTACCACATAACTACCATAATGACCACCACGACCATTATTCCCTCCCCCCTTTCTCCTACCCTTACAGCCACTACCATCATCACCACCACCACAATAACTATCATCACAACCTCGACGGCAACCATCCTCACCACTATCCCTCTGCCATCACAACCACCACCATCGCACCCACGAGCACCACCACCACCATTACAACCACCACAACCACAATCTCTCCTGGAAGCTACTGTGAATTGAGAAAGAAGAAGCCCCAAGCAGGCGCGCATGACAACCACTCACACCACCTTGTGTCAGACCTCAAAGTTGACACAAGAACAAAGCATTTCCTTTCAGTGTTGTCACTATATGACCTTTGGCCACCTGAAGGGGCTCCTACACACTTCCATTGCCCCCTTTCCATCCCATCATTTACCCCTTCCAAATCTTTTCTCTCCCTTTTTATCTCTCCTCCTTCCCATTACCCTCCCTCTTGTCTCATTACTGTCGCCTGAGGCACTTGTCTCCCACCACCCCCCTTCCATTTAGCCCCCACACCCCCACTTTCCTTCCCCCACCTAGGCTCCCCCACTATTTCGTTATGCAGGGGCCCCACCCACCACCGTGCCCGTGGTAGAAGGGGTATATATATTGCTCACTCCAGGCTCCTGTGTCTCGTCTTCCGCTGCTCCTCACACCGACAACATGAAGCTTGTGAGTACATATATGCCGGGAATAACGTTAGGCGTTCAGAAGCCTCTATATTCCTCTTCATTCATGTCTTAGGGAATGCCTCTTCACTCATGCCTCAAGGAATAACTCTTCACTCATGCCTCAAGGAATACCTCTTCACTCATGCCTCAAGGAATACCTCTTCACTCATGCCTCAAGGAATACCTCTTCACTCATGCCTCAGGGAATACCTCTTCACTCATGCTTCAAGGAATACCTCTTCACTCATGCCTCAAGGAATACCTCTTCACTCATGCCTAAGGGAATACTTCTTCACTCATGCCTCAGGGAATACCTCTTCACTCATCAAGCAGTACCACTTCACTCATGCCTCAAGGAATACCTCTTCACTCATCATACTTCTCACTCAGGGAATACTTCTTCACTCATGCCTAAGGGAATACTTCTTCACTCATGCCTAAGGGAATACTTCTTCACTCATGCCTCAGGGAATACCTCTTCACTCATGCCTCAAGAAATACCTGTTCACTCATGCCTCAAGGAATACCTCTTCACTCATGCCTCAAGGAATACCTGTTCACTCATGCCTCAAGGAATACCTCTTCACTCATGCCTCAAGGAATACCTGTTCACTCATGCCTCAAGGAATACTTCTTCACTCATGCCTAAGGGAATACTTCTTCACTCATGCCTCAGGGAATACCTCTTCACTCATGCCTCAAGGAATACCTGTTCACTCATGCCTCAAGGAATACCTCTTCACTCTTGCCTCAAGGAATACCTGTTCACTCATGCCTCAAGGAATACCTCTTCACTCATGCCTCAGGGAATACCTCTTCACTCATGCCTCAGGGAATACCTCTTCACACTCTTCTCTACTTTCATGATCAGATTAATTAACATTTAACATATCAATTAAAATTGTTCAACCACATGCCACGATTAGAAAGTTGTTCCTCTCTTCTTATAAGTAAAAAATATCTCGAATGTGTCTTAAGACCCAAGAAAGAGAGCACCTGAAGACCTCTTGTTGTCGATCAGAACGCCGTATTTTGTTTGGTCAATAGATCATATACAATTTTGGTCAATAAAATTAAGTTTTGTCATATGTATTAAATTGAATTCTGATTTGTACATCTTTTAACCCTTAAAGTGATGTTATCGTTATACGGTGATTAGCGAGTATAAGGGGTTTTATGACCCGTTTACGCTATCAGTTTCAATCTTTTATTGTGAAAGAAAATAAATGTTAGTGACACCATTAATCTCACCATCAAAACAGTGATTCTATGACTTTGTTTACTAAGCAAACCCAACACAAAATCGACGAATTAAGGCAGAATTTTACTCTCTCGGGGGATTGCGTTCCACACACATGCTTGTGGCGCGCAGTTAGATAGTGAAATTAAATAGAAAAGATTTTGTGTCTCATTGTTTTAACTCGCGAGTCATGTTGGTTGCTGGGCAGGAGAGGGTCCTACCATCCACCCAGGGCTGGTATGTCTGGTACTCCCCGGGGATGGTAGTGACTACCACTCCAAGGGGATGGTAGTGTCTACTACCCCCTGGGGCTGGTAGACACTACCACACACTACGGCTGGAAGTGCCTACCACCCCCTGGGGCTGGTAGATAACCAACAGCGATCAGATATAGGTTTTACGGGTCAATCATACCTTTCTTTAATGTCTTACCTCAATGTCTGTTACTGTGTCACTTCTGAATAACTAAGCAAACCTACTTTTACACCAACATTAAACACATACATTAGACTAATCAGTACCAACGAGCCCTTCAACAAAATTCTCTCCTCAGTTGAAAAATTCTCTCAACAAAATTCTCTCTTCCTCTCCTCCACTGAGACTAAGATAGTGCCAACCCATCATGCTATACCTTCATGTATAACTGTCCTCTGGGCGTTCCTCCTGCAGGTAGTCTTCGCCTGCCTCGCCTCTATGGCCCTCGCCTTCCCTCAAGGTGACCCTCGGGATGTAGAAGCGGTTGTGCTCAAAGACGTACGCAGCGACAGTGGAGATGGAAACTTCAATTTCGAGTTCGAAACCAGCAACGGAATCTACTCCCAGAGGACAGGCACCCCGGGCTCCAAGGGCCAGAGCGACATGACTGGCTCCTTCAGGTGGGTTACATATCGATACCTGTAAGAGACTATGTCGGTATGCTTCTTTTGAATATATATGTAAGTATGTGTATATATATATATATATATATATATATATATATATATATATATATATATATATATATATATATATATATATATATATATATATATGTAAATATAAATATATATATATATATATATATATATATGTAAATATAAATATATATATATATATATATATATATATATATATATATATATATATATATATATATATATATATATATATATATAAAACTGCCATTCATATCGATGGATACTTGCCAGCTATTTCTACCTTCTGTTCTGTAAAAACTAATTTTAATTTTGGAAAGAAAAAATATGTTTGATTACCTCGTGACTCGTTGTTCAGGTTCAACCTTCCCGACGGGACCGTCGCTGAGGTCCGCTACGTCGCCGACGAGCTCGGCTACCGTCCCGAGTCTCCGCTGATCCCCACGCCCCACCCTCTCCCTCCCCACGCCATCGAGCAGATCCGCGTCGCTGAAGAACAGCGCGCTAAGGGCATCACCTTCGAGAAATAAACACAAGGTCGACCTACTCGTCGAACTTTCCGTATAAGTCTCTAACCTTCCTGTAAATAACGGACACGTAACAATAAATTTATCACGTTATTTGCATATTGTTCTCTGTTTATCCCTTACAGTTCTTATCGTCGAGCTCAACAGTGAGCGCCTTGAAGCGCTCTGTACTCGAAGGTGCTTCCTTGGCTCTACTTCTCTTGCTCGTCATTATACCAAATGTAAATACAAATAAAAACATCTTCTTGTCATCCTTTGGAGATGATTACAAAATCAGCATGATGATAACTCCTGTAGAAGATACTAAAACATTATAAACAGATTTCAATAAGTTCTTCCACTGTACAACATGAAATAACATGTTTTTAAACCATAAATTCTAGATACTTAAGTATGGTAAAAACGAAAGAATTTGAACAGAATACAGGACATTTACATTTATTTACAGTTAAGAGACATTTACAGCTCCCCATAGAAAGTAAACGACATGTAAAAGATCAGGAATAATGAGGACAGATGACCTAATGTGAACATAACAGGTAAAAAATAGCATCATCCAGAAAAAACAGATAGAGTGGAGAAGTATCAAATCCGTCACAATTCTCTTAATTTTCAATTAAATTTTACTGTCCTGCATTAAATATTTCCCGGCACTCACATTCTCTTTTTTTTCAGCAATAAGGATTGCTAAAATAAAAGAAACTCACAGAGCACATACGGCACACTATAGAGAACATACACGGAACACATAGAGAGTACCTTAATTATTATGACTGGGACAAAGCAACAGAAATGTACTGTCTAGAAGGGAGCCGAGAGGTGTATTACATCTACTGTATATCTATACAATAAAATGACTGTCTGTATTTCTCTCTGGCTGTCTGTCAGTCCGAGGTTGGAAGCCAGACGCTGGGGGCTAGCCTCACCCAACTCTTTAAGATGAGTCATGTTGGGTAGGGAAGTGTCATAGGCCAGTCGTTGTCGGCCCAAGTGAATTGCTTTAAGGAATATAAGTACTTATGTGATTTTCATGAAGTGAAGTCAAAAACATTTGTTGTGATTCCTATAGAGTTGTTCAGCAGTTACAATGTTTCGTAAATATTCTGTCAGAGGAGGGTGGGGAAGAGGGGGATGAGGGGGGGAAAAGGGGATGAAAGACGAGAGGGATGAAGAAGGGGAAGAGCCCCGAGCACAGCCGGTAACCTCTTCTAGATATATACATGCAAGTTACTGAACGGCTAGGTCCTATATATGGACAACGAAATAACAATACACAGAAAATATATATTAAGAAATGCAGGATAGAAGCAGTGAGGAGTAGAGGTGCCACAGGCACAATCAGAAAACATGTCATAAACAAGAGGCCCCTGAGTCTTATTTACCAAATTATTTAGCCAATATTTACCAAATGTAAGCAATATTTCCGGAACACAAGTGGGGGTGCCCAAGAGAGAACAGCCTGACCGAGAAATTTATTCTCCTCTCCAAGCCTGACCCGAGACTGACTTGGAAAATAGAACTCTCAGCACCAACCACAGATAAACTTTACTCGAGCTGCATGTAAACTGTCGATAAATTACCAAACGTTTCACGAAATAGATATCTAGTAGCAACCAGTAGAGATATTTATAAATTATTAAATTTTAAGTTAAGGCATAATTAGAGAAGTTGTGGATAGGGAAAAAGTATGACAAGCAGCACACAAGAGGAATCCCGACTTCAGACAAGGTCTCAGTGGGCACTTTATATCTTCTTTGTCGCTATAATTTCAGGATGTAATTACTCCGTGAAGCGGAGAAGGACGCCGTCAGCACGTGCTGCGGCCGTCAGCACGTGCTGAGGCCGTCAGCACGTGCTGAGGCCGTCAGCACGTGCTGATGGCCTCAGCATACAATACCCAGCTCTTAACCACAGCTGGGTATTGTATATGTATAGTGCGTGGCAGCATTGGTCATATATAAAATATGTTGTTTGCTCCGTATATGTTACTATGCCCCGTATAACATATATGCCTCCTATCTAAATTTACGGGGCACCATTTGGAACGTAGGTACGAGTCACTTCGTAAGCCGTAGATACGAGGCACTTTATGGGAATTAGATAGGAGGCACTTTATGTGGTTTAGATACGAGACACTTTATGTGGCTTAGATACGAGACACTTTATGTGACTTAGATACGAGGCACTTTATGTGGCTTAGATACGAGACACTTTATGTGACTTAGATACGAGGCACTTTATGTGGCTTAGATACGAGGCACTTTATGTGGCTTAGATACGAGTCACTTTATGTGGCTTAGATACGAGGCACTTTATGTGGCTTAGATACGAGTCACTTTATGTGGCTTAGATACGAGACACTTTATGTGGCTTAGATACGAGGCACTTTATGGGGCTTAGATACGAGTCACTTTATGTGACTTAGATACGAGTCACTTTATGTGGCTTGGATTCGAGGCACTTTATGTGGCTTAGATACGAGGCACTTTATGTGACTTAGATACGAGGCACTTTATGTGACTTAGATACGAGGCACTGTATGGGTCTTAGATACGAGGCACTTTATGTGGCTTAGATACAAGACACTCTATGGGACTTAGATACGAGGCACTGTATGGGTCTTAGATACGAGTCACTTTATGTGGCTTAGATACGAGACATTTTATGTGGCTTAGATACGAGTCACTTTATGTGGCCTAGATACGAGGCACTTTGTGGGGCTTAGATACGAGGCACTTTATGGGGCTTAGATACGAGTCACTTTATGTGACTTAGATACGAGTCACTTTATGTGGCTTGGATTCGAGGCACTTTATGTGGCTTAGATACGAGGCACTTTATGTGACTTAGATACGAGGCACTTTATGTGACTTAGATACGAGGCACTGTATGGGTCTTAGATACGAGGCACTTTATGTGGCTTAGATACAAGACACTCTATGGGACTTAGATACGAGGCACTGTATGGGTCTTAGATACGAGGCACTTTATGTGGCTTAGATAGGAGACACTCTATGGGACTTAGATACGAGGCACTTTATGTGGCTTAGATACGAGGCACTTTATGTGGCTTAGATACGAGTCACTTTATGTGGCTTAGATACGAGTCACTTTATGTGGCTTAGATACGAGGCACTTTATGTGGCTTAGATACGAGGCACTTTATGTGGCTTAGATACGAGTCACTTTATGTGGCTTAGATACGAGACACTTCATGGAATATACTGCAGATTCTGGTCATTTCACGGTACTCGCATTCGCAGCAATTCCTGCTCCTTTATGTGTTGTCACTTAAAAACAAAACAAAAAATCTGAACTGAGTGGGTGAAAGAAATTGGTTATATTAACTGTGCCTATCAAGGCCAATCTTAAAATCAAAAGCCTGTGAGAATTTGTTCCCAAGTCCGCCGCTCACGTTTGCAGCCTTGAGGACCCACAAGGGCCTGGCAGCTGAGTGGACAACGCTCGTCATTCGTAGTCTTAAGGTTTCAGGTTCGATCCCCGGCGATGGCGGAAACAAATAGGCAGATTTTCTTCCACCCTGATTCTTCTGTTCACCTAGAAGTAAATAGGTACCTGGGAGTTAGACAACTGGTACAGGCTGCTTCCTGTGGATGTGTAACAAAAAGGAGGCCTGGTCGAGGACCGGACCGCGGTAACGCTAAGCCCCGAAATCATCTCAAGATAACCTCAAAATAACCCTCACCAGCGACGCGTGAAGTCTCACCAAGTTTCCTTGGTGGTTACGCTAACATTTGCCCCACGCTGAGATTTTTCGGTGGGAGTAAGCCCACCAGATCCAGGCACACCCATGTTCGCATTGCAGGTGTCGATATTCGACTCCTCGAAGTCGTCCCTGGGCTCGATAAGCGGGGTGTAGACTAGCGGATGCCGTCCCTATGACCGACAACCCAAGTGTCGACTCGTAGATGCAGTCCCTGGATTCGAGGAGCAAGGTATCGACTAGTTGATGACATCGTAGTCTCGTCAAGCCAGGTGTGATCTAGTGGATGACATCCCTGGTCGCGACAAGCCATGTGCGTACTGGTGGATGACTTCCCTGGGATACGAGATAAGTGTCGACTCATGGATGGCGTCCCAGGGTTCGAAGATCAAGGCTACGCCAAGCACGGTCACGGTGCTTGACAACCCTACAGGATGTACGCCATGCGTAATCACAGCGTCAAAGCCTGACACAGCTATGGAACATACTACCAGCATTGTCACAATGCTAAGGGTAAACCTTGATGCAAGAATATACGCCAGGAGTGAAGGGGTCTTGACCTAACTGCCAGGTTTTTCTTCCAACGCCATGTAAGGGATCCGGCACTGCGCATTTTCCATGCCACGCTATATAAAGACGCAACACTGTTCTTTGTACCATCAACGCCGTGTAAACCATCAAACTGTCTATAAAATCTCCATTTCAGTGTAACAAGATTGTTACTTCGGTTTAAAATTTTCTATTCGTAGTTTGGAAATTTCAAATCTGTTTTCATATCAACATTCCTGAAAGAAGTCAATACTTGTAATAAGCCTTCCAGAACGAATCCAGTACTTCTGTTAACCTTTCAGAACGAAGCCAATACTTCAGTTAATCTTCCAGAACGAAGTCAATAGTTCTAATTTACCTTCCAGAACGAATCCAATATTTATGTTCACCTTCCAAAACGAATTTAACACTTCTGTTAACCTTCCACTCACCTGGGCACCATAATATCATGTTATCGCTTCTTCATATCATATCGTTTACACTACTGCCCGATATATCGACTGGCCTCAGCAAGGCGACGCGGAGGACCTTTCAGTATAAAAAACGTTGTGAGGCGAGGAGCGTCTTCCTCTGTTGACCTGATGCTCCCGCTCGGCCTGGGCAGCGCAAGGCCACCTCCAGGGGTCCCGTAAGAGCTACGTCATCAGACAATAAGCCACTACCACTTCCCCCCAAAAAATAAGAATCACATTGACATGTGAAGTCAGTCACGCAACGTGACACCCGACCGTAACAACAGCTATAACCTGCAGAAATAACCCCAGTTTTTCCCTCCTCCGCTGTTATTATTTTTTCAGCCGAGTATTTTAAGGATTCATTACCTTGATGTTAAAAAAAAGCGTTCACACTCAGAACGGGTCCTCGTCGGGGCCGAGGTCAGGTAAGTCTCCGTCACCCGTTGCTGGTGAGGTATAAATAGCTGGGCCCAGACACCAGGCAGGCATCCTCAGCCGATCCTCACACCGACAACATGAAGCTTGTGAGTACTTGTGATGCTGAATATAAATGTCAGAGTTAGATCATTAGACTAATTATTCAAGCACCACGAATCATCTCTATGTTTTCTAATTTGATGAGTTTCGCTGAAGTACTCTTCAGCATATTCAGTTAACATATATGTGCGCATACAACAGTAAATATTCTTCATTTCATAATTCAAAATATTTATCAGATATAACTTAATTAAAGCATTTGGATATAAAAATGGACGAAAACTGTCCATTTATGAATATACAAATGGATGTTGGAATACTTCCAATGTATGTTATTAATATTTGATGCAATTATTACATCATAAATACTGCAGAGATGCATCAAGAGTACTTGTGAAGAACTTTGGTCTTAGGCATCTCCACTTATTAGTATCCCTTCTCTCGCTGACTCAGCCTCAGTACTCACCAGCTTCCCTTCTCTCGCTGACTCAGCCTCAGTACTCACCAGCTTCCCTTCTCTCGCTGACTCAGCCTCAGTACTCACCAGCTTCCCTTCTCTCGCTGACTCAGCCTCAGTACTCACCAGCTTCCCTTCTCTCGCTGACTCAGCCTCAGTACTCACCAGCTTCCCTTCTCTCACTGACTCAGCCTCAGTACTCACCAGCTTCCCTTTCTCAGACACTCCTCATCTGCCTGGTCGCCGTGGCCGCCGCCGCCCCAGATAAAGACGCTACGACAGTGCTGGACGAGCGAAGTGACTCCGGAGACGGGAACTTCCGCTACAACTTCCAAACCAGCAACGGAATCTCCGCCCAGAAGACTGGAACTCCGGGCTCCGAGGGCCAGAGCAACTATGAGGGCTCCTTCAGGTGAGCAAATGTCGAAATAATGAAGCATTATAACTAGTAGATCATTACTTGTGCGTCATTTAAATATTACGCGAACTGCATTTCACGTAATGGACAATGTTCTTTCCTCAGGTTCACCCTTGAAGACGGCACCGTCGCTGAGGTCCGCTACATCGCCGACGAGAACGGATACCGACCCGAGTCTGACTTGCTGCCCACGCCCCACCCCCTACCTGCCCACGTCCACGAACTCCTCCGCATCGCTGAAGAACAGCGCCGACAGGGCATCACCTTCGACAAATAGTTACAAGGTCGACCTGATCCTCGACCTTTCTGTAACTTACTGACCTTCCTGTATATAATGAACTCGTGACCGCAGCTTTGGGGTGTCCTCCAGCGCGTCAGACCCTAGACACAATCAAACGTCATCACAAGTGTACAATAAATGTAATATTTGCATTTTTGCTTCTGTTTCTCCCTTAAAGTTTCCTTGATCTTCAAGGCCTTTACATTTACACGCTGATACTGATTAACACTGAAATAAATGGAAATATTGAATGATTTGCCCACGGAAGGTAATGAGATATAATGGGATCCAGCTCTGGGGACTGCCTATAAAAATTAAAGACACTGCAGTAGGCCTATTGGTCCAATAGGTATCTACAATTTATAGTCATCCAAACTCATCCATATTTATGTCTAACGGAAGCTTGGAACACTCAAATGGTCCCACTCCTGTTATGTAACCCGATAATTTGTTCAATATTTCAAGCACCCTATTTTTTTCAAACATTTTATATGTATCAGTCAATCCTCCCTTAACACTTCGCATTTCCAGAGAATTAAGACAAAGCTTCCTTAATCTCCCTTCATGTGGAAGGTTTCTATTTCCTGAGATTAATCTTGTCATCTTTCCCTTTACTCGTTCAAGTGAATTTATGTCCATTATATAGTTTGGCGACCATATTTTAACTCTAAATTCTAAATGACGCCTAACTAGAGCTCGATAAAGCTGAAGAATAAAGTTAGTTGTTTTACTGCTAACACTTCTAGAAATTAATGCAAGTATTTTATTTGCGTTATTCTTTCTCACATTCAGATTATTTGGTAACAATCATCATTACTTAGCCTCGGAACTCTCCATTTTTAACATGACACGGCATCTGCCAATCTTTAGTTTATTTTAGATAACTATATTAAACGTCTTTAAGTAATTCTGAGTATTTTTTAGAATTTATTTTCTCCCCTAAATCTCTAGCAGCGCCTCCGAGGCCGAGTTTAAAGCGTTCCCTCTCTGGGTCGCCACATTGGATCTGCATCTCCAGTTGTTTCGTGAACCTGTGATATAATTTTTTTTTAATAAAACATCTGGGAGTTTTGCTCCAAAGGTTAAGTGTTTCCGATCATACTATGACGATGTGATATTGATATGCTAAGTCTCAGTACCTATTACCCTTGTCTACTTTCACATGGCCAACGGGCCACCCTATTAACAAACATCTACATCTTGATCGATAATATATTCAAATGTGTTAAAGACCTCCAAGATTTGTTACGAAAAAAGGGCCAACTTATCCTAATCACAGTGCTTAACATGAACCCAGGAACTAGGCATCGATGGTGCATTCCCTTTCCTTGATGTCTACATGAGAATCAAATACAACACTTTCACTACAGAAGTTTATACTAAACCTACCAACATTGGAATGTGTATGAATGGCCACTCCAAATGCTCAGAGAGATACATGATAAGTGCGATAAACTCATATATATACGTAGATCCCTTTCACATTGTTCTGATATAACATACAGAAAGAATTGGACAGAAGCCTTCTAGTATTAATAAACAACGGATACACGAACAGGGAAGTCAACACCAGTATCAAAAGATATTTAGAAAAATGGTACAACAGAGAGCAACAGCCGCAACAGCAAGCAACCCCTCCAATAAAATTCAATTTAAAATCCAATATTAGTTAACAGTATAAAACAGAAAAAAAAATAATAAATATAATTTCAAATGGAGTGAAACCGACAGTCCCGGTTTCAAGAAACCAAATTTTACAATAAGTGTAATACATTCTATAGTTATTTATTATTTTTCGTCACCTCGAACGAAGATGACTTTTGGAGAAATCCTCTTCCAATTAAACCAAGATGCAAGAGCACTAGTCAGAGGGATAGAAACCCTAAACAAGAAAATAATCAAAACAGAATATGCAGTCATATTCAATGAAACTATATATATATATATATATATATATATATATATATATATATATATATATATATATATATATTATACAGAGAGAGAGCGAGAGCGAGAGCGAGAGAGCGAGAGAGAGAGAGAGAGAGAGAGAGAGAGAGAGAGAGAGAGAGAGAGAGAGAGAGAGAGAGAGAGAGAGCAACCAGCCGGAACTACCCAACACATCAAGCACCACAAAGTACCCAATTTACTTGCCTTTAAGCATGTAAAACCAATTTGCTGATGATGCAACCAGGTTAGCAACCTCTGTGTCCTTCAAATTTACGCCGTTATTTTGCCTTCACATTACCATCTCTGAACACTGTGTGGTTCCTATATGACTACTACACAAGGCCTTGCAAATGTTCAATTCGGTCTGCAGTTTTATTTTACCATTATCATATATGTTAAAACCATACTCATGTAAAATAGAAGATTTTATTTGTTGTCAAGAAAGTCAGATGACCTGCCAAAAATCTGAAATTTTAGTTTGTAAAATTGCTATTTTTTTAAATGCTATTTTTTCAGTTTTTTAGTAAGAATTAATAAAATAAAATAAAAATAACTGCATATGAGTGAACATTATTCAGAGTGATTTCCACTTTTCAAGATAAATAAGGTTACTTAAGCAAGAGACAAATTACGATTATATTATACGGACCTTTCATTGTCACCCTCAATGGGCTCCTTGCACCGCAATTGGTCTCCAAGCACCAGCATGGGACTCCATGCAACACCAATGCTCCCCATGCACCATCAAGGACCTCCATGCACCGCAATTGGTCCCCATGCACTCTCAAGGAGCCCCATGCAAGTAGGGCCTACCCCAATGGTACGAACATCCTGGTCCAAATCGGTATTACCTGCTGGAAGATCAAAATTACACTAACAGGAGAGCCTCTGGGTCCTCCTATTTGGACACATGAAGTCACTGTAGAAAAGTAGATAATTTTTTAATGTAAATATAACTTGTCGACTGTTAAGTTACATTATCATTGGAATAAGAAATCAACCACACATTTGACAGGATATAAATAGTAGCACTCAAACCTGGGATTTTGGGTTGCCGTCCAAGTTAATACAAATATTAATACAAAAACCGCAAAAAACATATTGTTAAAATGTTATATATTAGAAAAACAATGTTATGATGAAAATGTAGTATCATCTACTAACATGAAATCAATGTCAACATAATAATAGCAATATTTATACAGTGCACATTGTTAATACAATACATTAATTTAAACACTGTCAGTCCTATTACATGAACAGTGTTAATACAACATTAAGGAGAACGTTCAGGTAACATCAAGGAGAACGTCCAGGTAACATCAAGGAGAACGTTCAGGCAACCTCAAGGAACTTATACGAGGCTCTAACACTATCCGGAAACTTCGTGATGCTCACAACAGTCGCATCATGACATGGTTAACAAAGTAAATACGCACGCTACACTCAGGTCCGGCAAGTGTACATTGGCAAGGTTGTGATGAATCAAGGACAGTTCTGATCTCATCTGTCAACATAAGACGGTTTTAAGTATTAATTACCACTGTGTTCATTTCTCAGGTCAGACGCTGTGATTCATCATCCGTTCACGATGAATGTGACAAATTTAGAGGCACCGATTTATTCAACATTTTACATACGTGCCTTCTTTATTATTATTATGAACCTAACTAGAAAACAAGTACTCTGAAATCTAGAAACAGTTATAACAGGTTCCCCACATGACCAAGTCAAGTCAGGTGCCCAAGCCATGGTGGGGGTATATATAGCCTGTCCCTGGCAGCAGGCAGCCATCCTCAGCCGATCTTCACACCGTCAACATGAAGCTTGTGAGTATGACCAGTACACTGTTTCTCCTCGGGGATAAATGTTAATAAATAAATAATTATATATATATATATATATATATATATATATATATATATATATATATATATATATATATATATATATATATATATATATATATATATATATATATATATATATACATACATACATACATATATATGTACTGGTGAGACCACAGAACTCACCATCTCCCTTTCTCTTGCTGACTTTGCCTTAATACTCACCAGCTTCCCTTCTCTCGCTGACTCAGCCTCAGTACTCACCAGCTTCCCTTCTCTCGCTGACTCAGCCTCAGTACTCACCAGCTTCCCTTCTCTCGCTGACTCAGCCTCAGTACTCACCAGCTTCCCTTCTCTCGCTGACTCAGCCTCAGTACTCACCAGCTTCCCTTTCTCAGACGCTCCTCATCTGCCTGGTCGCCGTGGCCGCCGCCGCCCCAGATAAAGACGCTACGACATTGCTGGACGAGCGAAGTGACTCCGGAGACGGGAACTTCCGCTACAACTTCCAAACCAGCAACGGAATCTCCGCCCAGAAGACTGGAACCCCGGGCTCCGAGGGCCAGAGCAACTATGAGGGCTCCTTCAAGTGAGCAAATGTCGAAATAATGAAGCATTATAACTAGTAGATCATTATTTGTGCGTCACTTAAATATTACGCGAACTGCATTTCACGTAATGGACAATGTTCTTTCCTCAGATTCACCCTTGAAGACGGCACCGTCGCTGAGGTCCGCTACATCGCCGACGAGAACGGATACCGACCCGAGTCTGACTTGCTGCCCACGCCCCACCCCCTACCTGCCCACGTCCACGAACTCCTCCGCATCGCTGAAGAACAGCGCCGACAGGGCATCACCTTCGACAAATAGTTACAAGGTCGACCTGATCCTCGACCTTTCTGTAACTTACTGACCTTCCTGTATATAATGAACTCGTGACCGCAGCTTTGGGGTGTCCTCCAGCGCGTCAGACCCTAGACACAATCAAACGTCATCACAAGTGTACAATAAATGTAATATTTGCCTCTCTGTGTCTGTTTACTCCCGACGTATTACATCATGTTGGTGCTGATTAACTAACAATGGGCCCGTCATTCACACACTCCCACCTTTTTCTCAAATGAAAGTACTTATAGTCGCAGTATAGTCGAAAGTAGCAATATATCGTGATAAACTACCAGAAAGTCGACTTCGTTTTTACTGTGTTAGGATATAATTGAAAAATTAGTTGCCAGTATGACCTATCCTAACCTAACCTATCCATCTTAAGCTCACTACACGCAATCTGAGGCTTAATATATTACAAATATATGCTATACTAAGCCTAGGAATATTTACATTCGGATTTTAGCTTTATTTTTTCGGACTCTGTAGAACAAAATTCAACTAATTGTCCATTACGTCTATATATTATATTATATATATATATATATATATATATATATATATATATATATATATATATATATATATATATATATATATATATATATATATATATATATATATATATATATATATGCAAACAAGCCTGAATCGTCTCTAGGACTATATGCAACTGAAAACTCACACCCCAGAAGTGACTCGAACCCATATTGCCAGAAGCACACTACTGGCGTACAGGATCCCTTAACCGCTCGACCAATACGACCAGACAAAAGAGGATGGTAGCCGAGGCTATTTCCATCCCCCCGCCGGCACTCGGTTGGTAATCTTGGGTATGATATTTTTTCAAATCACCTTATTCTTTGGGGCACACGTGAGGAACACAAATACGAACAAGCCTAAATGGTCCCAAGGACTATATGCAACTGAAAACTCACACCCCAGAAGTGACTCGAACCCATACTGCCAGGAGCACACTGCTCTTGGATCCCTTAACCGTTCGACCAACACGACCAGACAAAAGAGGATGGTAGCCGAGGCTATTTCCATCCCCCCGCTGGCACTCGGTTGGTAATCTTGGGTATGGTATTTTTTCAAATCACCTCATTCTTTGGGGCACACGTGAGGAACACAAATGCGAACAAGCCTGAATGGTCCAAAGGACTATATGCAACTGAAAACTCACACCCCAAAAGTGACTCGAACCAATACTGCCAGGAGCACACTGCTGGCGTACAGGATCCCTTAACCGCTCGACGAAGACAACCGGACAAAAGAGGATGGTAGCCGAGGCTATTTCCATCCCCCCGCCGGCACTCGGTTGGTAATCTTGGGTATGGTATTTTATCAAATCACCTCATTCTTTGGGGTACACGTGAGGAACACCAATGCGAACAAGCCTGAATGGTCCCCAGGCATATATGCAACTGAAAACTCACACCTCAGAAGTGACTCGAACCCATACTGCCAGGAGCACTATGCAACTGGTGTACAGGGCACCTTATCCACTCGACCATCACGACCGGATGGGTAAATAGCCTCGACTACCATCAGCTTTTGTCAAAGCTTTCTTATGTTCACAAAGTGAATATATGAAAGAGGAAAGAATAATGAAACAAATAATCCGTAAATGAGTAAAAATCACAACCCCCTAATCTAAACAGAGACATTGTCATATATTACAAAACAAAGAAGACCACTACCCTTATTTATTAAACACAGCCCAAAGACAACTGAGAACCCTCTGAAGCTGCTGTTGTTATAAATTCAGCTACTCGGAACAAGTTCCGAGTAACACGGGCTATGGTGAGCCCGTAACTTACCTGGCACAGGAGCGGGGCAAGTAACACGGGCTATGGTGAGCCTTAGTGAACTTACCTGGCACAGGAGCCCCTCTGAAGCAATCGAACGTGGATATATGTACACCTGTCCCCATGAAGGATGGAACCTTCAATCTAAGTACAAAGGTATGACGTCGACTAAACTCAACTCCAATTAGGCGCCTGTCATCTGTCATCTCTGGTCATCTCCAATCAGGCGACCCTAAACTCATATAAGAGAAATAAAATAATATAATAAAAACTTGTTTGTTAGATAAAGCCCAAAATGTAAATTCTTAAAGCCCTACACATAAAACGGAACAACTCACCATAAACACTCAAATAATGGAATTATTCACTCTCACCACCATGAGAGTGAGAGCAAGACCGGAACACGAAAAAGCCACTGATGACGACATTGCCCAAAATGCCGTGCCCACCACGGTCTCATTACCCTATCATCTGACATAATTTTGTATTCTTAGAACACTGGCCCATCGTTTCACTTTCCGTCTACTATTGTTTCTTTCTCCATTCCCTGACATAATTATGTATGTACCTGCCTCCCAGTATTATAAATCAGATGTTTCCTCAAGTCCCACACTTGAGAATGAACCATGTAGGTTCGAAAGGTTGTAAAATTATAATAAGTATAATACATTACGCCGTTAGCTTTTAGTCAACCTGGAACAAATATGACATTCAGATAAATCCTCTTCCAATTAAACCAAGATGTAAAAGCACTAGTTTGATGGATAGAAGCCCTAAACAAGTAAAATAATCAACACGGAATATACAGGCATATTCAGTGAAACATATATATATATATATATATATATATATATATATATATATATATATATATGCCTAAGTATCCACTAGGGAAATGAAACGAAAATTCAGATCATTTTCATATAATTTTCCTAGTGGATACTTACACATAACCGAATCACGTATACATATACATATACATATACATATATATATATTATATATATAAAAGACAACTTTTAACACTTTGGGGGTTGATGTAAGCCTTTTACCCAAATATTTAAATTAGTTTAATTCGCTGAACAATAAGAGGAGGTTTTCCTTGTTACAGGTGTTGAATTTCTTACTTACCTCAGTCGTGTCTCATATAATAATTTGTTTTCTCATTGTCGGGGACATTAAGCCTGTATTTAGGCTTAGTCCATGTCCGATTACTATCCCATGTCCGACTACTCTCTATTCCCAGGATGAACCCACAATAGTTGCCTAACTACAAGATACCTATTTACTGCTAGATGAACAGTTCCATCAGGTGAAAGGAAACGTGCCCAGCCATTTCTGTGTTTATTACGTAGTCAAGGTTGCGAGACGTCCTCCGTGGAGGCTGAACCTGTACTTACCGTTGCCAGCCTTCCTGCCAGTAAAAAAAATCATGTTTGTAATGAGGCAAATTTTGTCATAAAGTTTATTTTAATGTTTTTACATATAAATAATTAATTATTAAATTTATAAAGGATATTAATATTCAAAGCCTTTTCCACTTTTTGGAGGAGGCATTATGCAGATGTGAAATACGAGCGATATCAGATCCCACCTTTACTTCCCTGATAAAGACTCCATCCACTAGAAGGAGCCTTCATACGTTCCGAAAGTGTCTTTCAACCGCCTCGGGGATCCAAGTACTGCCTGGAGTCGAACATCCCAATAGGGCTTCAATGTACCCCTTAGCGACTCCATGCATGGTAAATGGCCTTCATGTATTCTCAGAGCGGCCTCCATGCACACTAAAGAGTTTTCATGACCTTGAAATGACTCCATACACCCTGAAGGGATTCAAGCATCACCAAGTGTTGCCTGAACCAACGGCTCTAACACACTGGTCAATATGAAGAGAATCTCTGGAAAAAGATCTGGATTAAAAGTAACTGGAAGGCCTTCAGGTCCTTCTGTCTGGACAGATGAAGTCAATGAGGAAAAGTATTTTTCTTTTTTGCGTTACAAATTGTTTTGTGTTTTATGTCGTCTCCAGTCCCATACTGATAAATAATCCACCAAACATGTTTTTCTCCAACAATTATCTAGAAACTAGATTATCTTAGGTTGTTGGCAATGTTAATACAATGCAATTGTTAATACATATTAAATATCAGCAGAATTACAATGATAAAACAGTAATAATGTTAATATATAAACAATGCCAAAACAATAACTGTTAAATACACTCACAGTCACCATAGAGCAAATATGCGCTCTCAAGTCAGGTCCTGTGAGTGTACGCTCGCAAGGTTGGGAAGAATCAAGGACGGTTCTCTACTCGTCTGTCTACATTTTACAAATTCGTCGGTATTCGTTCGTTCGTTCGTGATCAATTTGTAAAATATTGAGCCAACGATATAAGCTTGTATTTTGTTAGAGATTATGAACCTGTTCTGAAAACAAGTAAAACATAAACAAAAAATGGTAAAAACAGGTTTCCCACATGACCGGGTCATGTCTGCCAATCCCAGCCATGGTGGGGGTATATATAGTCTGTCCCTGGCAACAGGCAGCTATCCTCAGACCGATCCTCACACCGTCAACATGAAGCTTGTAAGTGTGACCACAACTCTTCCTCTGAGGGGAGATAGTGTATATATATATATATATATATATACATATATATATATATATATATATATATATATATATATATATATATATATATATATATATATACACATATATATATATATATACACTATATATTATATATATATATATATATATATATATATATATATATATAGTACCACCCCTGGTGCAATTGTAGGGACCCATAGCCTCGGAGAAGGAAATACAGGGCATTCAGAGAAAAACGTGCCATTTAACTCTCTATCTCTCTCTCTCTCTCTCTCTCTGTAGCGAAAGACTGGAGTTCTATCGACCAAGTTACGAATACCCACAATAAAAGAGGGTCCCATAGAGACACCACTGGTATCATACTGAAACATTAGGCCTCTCCGGAGGTGTCACTTGAGTCTGGAGGTATTAGGTGATTACGTGCCAGTTATATAAATTGCAAACTGCAATAAATATGGAAAAAAACATTTCATTCATTTGCACCATTGTAGCTTGGTTGGTAAAACTCCAGTCTTCTGCTTCAGTGGTCGTGGGTTCGAGGCTTGGATGGTGTAAGTAAATTATATGTTATTTCCATGTTTATTCTGTTTTGCAAATTATATATGTTAGAATAATCATCACAAAATATATGTGATTCTGTTATTATGCTTGGGTATCCCCGTAGGAAAAATTATATGAACATTTGAAACGTTTTCGTTTCACCACAGTGAAGGAACACAGCAAAGAAGACATGGGGTTCGGATTCTATACCCCATTACACCTGAGTGGAAAAAGATTCATTAACAAAATATCGAATAATGGCAGTGACATGATTAAATGGGGGTTGGCTATTCTTGGAATAGCCAACCCCCATAGCCTACATATACTTATTCTTTACATAATTTTATACCTATCACAAATCTTACAAATTATATTTATTATATCTTATTTATATAATCTTGGACTTTACATTAATATTATCTAATTCATTATTTTTTATAAATGAAGGTTCAGTAATATTTATTTCACTAACTGATATACACTCGACAATTTTGCATCAATTAATCCAATCAGTTGAAATTTAAATTTTTAATCCAGACAGTTTAATGATTACATTCTCTTGAGTGAACGAACAATGCACCTGTTCATATACTGTATCTGTGTTCTTTTATTCTCTGGTCAAAATGTTTACTTGTGTGGCCAACACAGAACTTACTTCAATTTTTCCATGGAATTTTAAACACACAACCATGCATGTGTGCAAATTAATCATTTCTAATGGAAAATATATCATCATCTGAGCTTGCTTTCGGGAATAATACCCATTTTCTGAGATGAGGAGAGACTAAAACAAACAGGGAGGAAGGCAAATTTACAAAGGGGAGGAAGGCAAATTTACAAAGGGGAGGAAGGCAAATTTACAAAGGAGAGGAACAGTCATAAATAGTAAGTGGAAGGGGGTGGAGGGGTTGAGGTCCACAGAGGCACAAGGCGGATGTCAACATCCGCTTCTCTGTTCCTCCTCTACACCCCGCTTAGTACTCTGTTCTTCTCTCCTCCTTCTAAAAATTGCCTTCTTCCTTGTCTCTGTCTTAATCTTTCCTCATCTCTGTTTCAAGTGGTTGATTTGCACATACACATTATATATATATAATTTCGTTAGAGTCAAACATATTTTTATATTGTAATCAATTTGTGATGAATGTCACTAGGAAAAAGAATAAAGATGGGAACATAGCAATGCAGAAATAACATAGAGGTTAAGTAATAATCAGGAAGAACATTAAGCCAGTGTGACTATACAGAGATAAAATAATTATTAAAGGTTAAGCTTCTCTCCTTTCTATTGGTGTTACCTTTGGCACTCTCACTCATCTCATTTGTTGACTCAAATATAATACTCAGGCTTTCCTTCATTGACTCCAAGTTCATCAGCATCCCAGCTCTCATTTACACCATTAACTACCTTCCCCTTATCTCTCTGACTCAGCCTCAGTACTCACCAGCTTCCCTTCTCTCAGACGCTCCTCATCTGCCTGGTCGCCGTGGCCGCCGCCGCCCCAGAAAAAGACGCTAAGACTGTGGTGGACGAGCGAAGTGACTCCGGAGACGGGAATTTCCACTACAACTTCGAAACCAGCAACGGAATAGCTGCCGAGAAGACTGGAACCCCGGGCTCTGAGGGACAGAGCAACTATCAGGGCTCCTTCAGGTGAGCACCACACTTCAGAGGTTGAAACACACTACTAAGAGAACCTACTATTATTGTTGGAATTGAAAGTAATATTAAATGCCAAAAATATTTTGTAATAAGTGGATGCCTTTCTCAGGTTCAAACTTCCCGACGGCACGAATGCTGAGGTCCGCTACATCGCCGACGAGCTCGGCTACCGCCCTGAGTCTCCACTGATCCCCACGCCCCACCCTCTCCCTGCCCACGCTGTCGAGCAGATCCGCGTCGCCGAGGAGCAGCGCGCTAGGGGCATCACCTTCGACTAATAAGTACGAAGTCGACCTGTTGCTCGACATTTCTGTAATTCCCTTAACTTTTCGAATAGAATGAACTCCTGACCACAACTTTGGGGTGTCTTACAGCACGCCAGATCCTAGCCACAATTGAACGTTTTTAGAAATGTACAATAAAGAATTTGTTTGCATGTCTGTCTCTGTTTACTCCATATGGATTAGATGATGCTTAAGACATTTACCATTAAGTCATCTTCTCACTGATTAATAAGTAGCACTGAGCCTGTAACCTACACACACTCCCACCTTCACTTACGCTTCTACACAGTTACGTCCCATCATATTAAGTAAAATACGGTTACAATTAATAGTGAAAAATCACATGAAACGCTAGAAATTGTAACTCTCCTCAAGCACATCCAAGACCCGGATGGAAGTTTGTATACAGAGGGTGTTTCCTCTCTGGATCCCAAACACTGAGGAGAATAAGCAAGACACGTTCAGTCCGTGTCTCTCCAGTTGTTTCAGATGCCAGTGAGAATACATTGTTGTTCTGGAAATATTAGACGGTTTTGCCACTAGAGGCCAAGGATTTCCTCTTCTATAATAACAATGGTATTAATAATGCAATTTCTAGTACAAATTGAGCGTGTATATGTCCCAACTGCAGAGAGACGTTTTAACCTACTTTATGAATATCGCCAACGATTGATTACCCATGTTTATACTTGACTCCTCAAAAGCCCTATTTACGTCAATATACTTTCATGTACTCCTGCTTACTTACTAGTACTCGTATGTACTCAGGTGTACTCAAATCTAGTCTGCTTTCATATATTTGCTGCTATGCATTCAGATGTAATCTCATGTTTTCCGTTTTTTTAAGTAAACCTATATACTCCAATGTTCTGTCATGTACTTCAACAAACTTAAATGTACCGTTATGCAATATTTTTTATTCTTGTGGACACCAACTAACCATCATGTACTCCTTTGTACTTTAGGGCTCTTCCATGTAATCCTGCTTTTCCCTATGTCCTACCAATCACTCCCGAGTAATTATTCCGAATTATAGGTACTCATATACACTTATATGTACACAAGTCTACTCCTATATGTAAGGTTTTAAAAATTACAGACAACGATTAACAAATGTTGCCTAATGAAACATTAACGCGCCTTCGAATACTCCTAAATAATTAAATACAAAATTTTTGAACGCATTTAAACCTCTCTCGAACTGTTGTCTAGTGAAGCTCAAGTGTGAGAATTTCTGAACAATTGTGATGTTCAAAAATACCCTCGTTTGCCACCAATTTTATGAAGGGTCAATTAATCATTTAATCCTACGAATTCTGTCTCCAAGATGGATTACATTAATGCACCTGGAAGAATGGCAAATAAAAGCTTCGTTGGAAATGTGCATCTTCAGTGATGCTTCATGGCACAGTCTCTGAGTACAAAAGACATGAAAATGGTACACCGCAAGGAGGTATTCTCAGCCCTCTTCTCTTCAACTGTTTAATGGAAAGAATAATGAGGTTGAAACTTCCACATCACTGCAGGCAGCTAAACTACGCGGACGACTTTGTCATCATCATAAAAGGAAGGGATGCGGCGCGCCTTGCACCCAAATGCTTAGACTGCATCAGTAAAAAGGCAAAACAGATTGGGATCAAACTCAACCCCTCAAAGTCAAAGGCCATGCCCATAAAAATAGCGAAGCCCAACATCCAACTCACAGTACAGGATCAACCAATAGAATGGGTCGACACCTATCAGTATCTAGGAATCATCCTGGACACACACATGAATTTTAATGCTGAGGTCACTTACTTGAGAGAGCGAACTGCGGCCCGGACGGCAATCCTCAGGTCGCTAACCTCCCTTTCTGGAGGAGCCAATCTGCAAGTTCTTCGCACATACTATATACAGGCAGTCAGATCAGTGATCGATTATGCCGCACCTGCACTCACAAATCTATCACACCAACAATGGAAAAAGCTTGAAGTTGCCCAAAACAATGCTATGAGAGCTGCACTGGGAGCCCCTATGTGGACCAGGCTTGAAACTCTTAGACTGGAGACGGGTTTGCCCTCTCTACAAAAAAGAATATCACAAAGGACAGCTACAATTATCAGTAAGATAATTATTTCTTCTGATCCAATCCCAGTACGGCAGGCCTTGGTGGTTGGACTAGGCCAAAACAATGGAAACTCTTGGGTTGCAAGAGCAGGAAAAGTCCTAAACAGACTACATTTAAAAAACATGATTCTTGATAGAGAGGGTGATCATCCACACCCAAATTACACTCCTTCCGCGCCGTGGGAAGAGCCTACTTTCAAAATAGTAATAGAAAGTCTCCCAATGAAAAAGGCTGCCTATGATCCGACAATCCTAAGGCGCATAATAGAAGAGCAAATGTATAGCATAGCAGTAGCAGAAGCCACCCACATCTTCACAGACGGATCGGTGGACACAGAATATGAGAGTGCTGGCGCTGCTCTTTGCACGACCAGCGTACAGGCATATTGGAGACTGGGAGGACTAGTATCATCAACCCAAACTGAGCTGTTTGCCATACAACAGGCATTCGCATATGTGATTGCACAAAACAATCAAAACACTCAAAATGCAATCATACACACAGACTCAAAAGCTGCACTTCAAATACTAGGACAAAAACAGTGGAAAGATAATGTGGAAATAATTACCACCATTTTGTATCTTGGAGCAGTCGCTAAAGGCAAAGGACTCAACATAACTTTAAACTGGATCCCATCCCATATTGGAATCTCATTAAATGAAAAAGCTGATGAAATTGCTAAATTGGCAACTCGTCATCCAGTGATACATAAAACAATTCAACCCAGCCTAGAGAACATAAAAAACATCACCAAAAAACTCTGACATCTCAACAAAGCCGACCTACACCAGAGAACAGCTGAAGGTTCGCCATCTGCAACATGGTATCTTCAGGCAACCAAATTAGAAACGTTAAATATCCCAAAAGGAATCCACAGGGAAATAGCAGTTAGGTTATATAGACTACGTCTAGGTTACAGATGCAACTGGGAGATTGGTGAACCCCGACAGAGAGAGTGCATCTTCTGCCAAACTGTCACAGAAAAGCCATTACTTCACTATCTTCTGGAATGTGAAGCAACCAGTGACCTTAGAAGAGCTTTAAGAGTTCCTGAATCATGCAGCGGCCACCCTGAAGCCATCAACACAGCCACTCTCCTGGTCAACAAAGGTGTCCAGCAGCTGGACACCCTCATAAAGACTGTGAAGCAGTATCCTCCCCCGCGATAACAGCTTGATGGTTAAATGCAACCTCAGAATACTGAGAAAAAAAAAATTGTACTACTTACGGGCTATTCATGCCCGTGCCACCTCTTGGGTGGCTTAATCTTTATCAATCAATCATCAATCAATCGTGTAAGTTCTATTCAGTTGTGTATGTGTAAACTAAAGTCTTTGAAAATGTAATAAGTTTTACGAAACGCACTCAAGTGTCGCGTCAGACTAGAAATAAAAATGAATTTTGGAGAATTGATTTTTGAATTACCACCAACAGTGAAAAGAAACGTACGAAAGATGGAGAAAATTCGTGTTAGAATTATTAATCTTACTTTTTCGGTCATATTTAGTAATATATGTCTACAGGAAAGACTGCTACCAAAATATACTATATATATATATATATATATATATATATATATATATATATATATATATATATATATATATATATATATGTTTATTTTCGTGATATACACACACACATATATATATATATATATATATATATATATATATATATATATATATATATATATATATATATATATATATATATATATATATATATATATATATGTCGTACCTAGTAGCCAGAACGCACTTCTCAGCCTACTATGCAAGGCCCGATTTGCCTAATAAGCCAAGTTTTCATGAATTATTGTTTTTTCAACTACCTAACCTACCTAACCTAACCTAACCTAACTTCTTCGGATACCTAACCTAACCTATAAAGATAGGTTAGGTTAGGTAGGGTTGGTTAGGTTCGGTCATATATCTACGTTAATTTTAACTCCAATGAAAAAAAATTGACCTCATATGAAATGATAAAGCTACCCATTTCATTATATAAGAAAAAAATTAGAGAAAATATATTAATTCAGGAAAACTTGGCTTATTAGGCAAATCGAGCCTTGCATAGTAGGCTGAGAAGTGCGTTACTGACATTATATATATATATATATATATATATATATATATATATATATATATATATATATATATGTCGTACCTAATAGCCAGAACGCAGCCTACTGTCCAAGGCCCGATTTGCCTAATAAGCCAACTGAATTATATATTTTCTCTAATATGAAATGATAAATATACATACGAATGAGGTCAATTTTTTTATGGAGTTAAAATTAATAGATATATGACCGAACCTACCCTATACCTAATAACCTATCTTTATAGGTTAGGTTAGGTTAGGTATAGGTTAGGTTAGGTAGGTTAGGTAGACGAAAAACATTAATTCATGAAAACTTGGCTTATTAGGCAAATCGGGCCTTGAATAGTAGGCATAGAAGTGAGTTCTGGCTACTAGGTACGACATATATATATATATATATATATATATATATATATATATATATATATATATATATATATATATATATATATATATATATATATATTATATATATATATATATATATATATATATATATATCCCACACACTAGCTGTACCCGGACACCCGTTGCTGTGGCTTAGCAACGCAGGTGCGTTGCTAAGCCACAGCAACCTTTTCCCTGTCTCCCCCACCATGCTCCCTGTCTCGTCCCCTCATCCTCCCAACCATTCCTCACTCACCTGTCCCCTCTTCCTCCCAACAATTCCCCACTCCGCCATCCCTTCCTCGTCCTCCTCACTACTCCTCCCCTCCCCCGTCCCTTTGTCCTCCCCCAACATCCCCCACTGCAGAGTCCGCTTGTCCACCTAACCATTCCCCACTCCACCTTCCTCTCCCCCTCCCCGCCATATCCCACTCCCATGGCCCTTCGTCCTCCCTCCCATTCCTACCGCCCCCCCGTCCCCTCGTCCTTTCCACCAACCCCAACTCCTCTGTCCCCTTGTCCTTCCCACCATTCTCCATTCCCCTATCCCCTCGTCCCTACCATCCCCAACTGCCCCGTCCTCTCGTCCTCCCCACTATTAATCCCTCCCCTGTCCTCTTGTGATCCCCACCATCCCCCACTCCCGTCCCCTTGGCCTTCCTAACATTCCCCACTTTCTTGTTCGATGCATTCCCAAACGATCTGATGCTCCCATCAGAAAATTGGGAACATCATATGATCTGATGTTCCTATCACTGAAATATAAGAAACAGTTAAGAAAATGAAAAACAATGAAAAAATACAAAAATAACTATACCCAGGAAATGAACGGTATGGTAAACATAAAACCCGTTCTCGCACTTGCTTATAGTCAATATCTTGCTTATGAATAAGTGCATATGTGACATACCAATTTATTGTGAATATTTGAGTTTACCTTGAAAAGCTAAATAGAAAACCACAACCTAACTTAACCTTACTATGTTAAGATATTACAATTAGTACTGAACTTGTACCTATATTGATATTACAGTTTTATAAAAATAATAAAACAAAACTAAAATATTTAAATAAATTGTAAAGTTACTCAGGATATTGTCAAATTTTGTATAAAATCTCTTTTGTTTAATAAAACAGAAAAAGTTAGTGCCTTGAAAAATAATATGGCTTGGAATATATCACATATGTATTTATTTATATGCAAAATAGTGACTATAAGCAATAAGTCATATATGTGCTGTCTTGTGTGAGAGCAGGTTGCAACATAACAGCTTTATTCCAAAGCAATGTCACATAAAAAATGAAATAAAAATGAAAATCAGTCGAAATCTATGAAACTTCTATTTGTCAATGTTATCAGAAACATTGAAATGGAATGGTAACAAATTTAGTATAGTGTGTGTTGCTCGTACGTGCAACAGATGGTGCTGTTTCTTAAAAAATGAATGATTTTACCTGTCACAGGTGTGGCATCTATACCTATACTTACGGAATGAACGATATGGTAAACAACGCAGCTCAATTTCAACGCAAAGTCACACAAAATAATTAAATCAAAATGAAAATAAATCAAAATTTATAAAAATTAAATTTATCAATGCAATCAGAAACACTGAAATGGAATTGTAACATATTTAGTATCGCGTGAGTTGCTATTATGTGCAACAGATGGCACTGTTTTAAAAAAAAAAAAACATGTTTTTACCTTTCACAGGTAGGGCATCTATATAATCGGTATACAAAAATACGCGTGTATTCGAAGGCAACGTTGTGTCAAAATTTAAAAGCAATCGATGAAGAACTTTCGGAGTTTACAGCGTTTGTTGCTCTTACGTCCAACAGATGGCGCTGTTTAAAAAAAAAAAAAGCATGTTTTTTTCCTGTCACAGGTGTGGCATGCGAGTATTAAATAAATAAAAACACGCGCCTATTCGAATGCAACGTTGTGTCAAAATTTCAAAGCAAACGGTAAAGAGGTTTCGATGAATTCCCTCTCATGAAAAACACAGTTTAAAAAAAATATATTTCCGTCACAGACGTAACATCTATATAATATGTATATATAAACCCGCTCGGATGCGAATGGAACGATGTGTGAAAATTTCAAAGCGGTGAAGAACTTTTGGAGATTAACTATTTCGAACAAACGAACAATTACATTTGTATTTATATAGATATAATATATAATATATATGTAATAATATATATATTAATATATATATAATAAAAACATTTTGTCTTATAGAAATATTCACCATTATTCATTGAACTCCGGATAAGTAACATTAATTCCTTGCTATTTAAGCTTGGGTCATAATCCCAGAAAACACGTCAAATTAGATTCTCAATTTTTTCCTCCCACTGAAAGCAGAAGGCTAATACACAAATTCAGAAGGGGACACTATTATATTTTGAGTAAATGTCATTTAATATTATGAAGTTATAGGGAGACTAGTGCCACTTGCTCTTGTTATGCTATTAGTAATTTTGAAGATAGAAAGAGACAGAGATAGAGAAGCAGGGATGGAAGGGGGGAAGGGAGGAATCCAAGGACAACCAAGGATTGCATGCACCACTGGTTCGATCACCCTGCTCAATATCAAGGTTATCTCCGAGAAGAACAATACTAAGTAACTAAGAATTTGGAGAGCCTCCAGGTCTTTTTACAGGCGAAGTCATTGCAGAAAAGTAGGCGCTTTCTATACGTCAAACTGTTTTCTGTTTAAAACGTAACTATGTTCCTTAGGGTTAAAGAAAAAACTACATGTTTTTTCTAGTATGTAGATTATCATAGTTTGTCATTAATGTTAGTAAAATATTAATGTTTATACAAACGCAATCTCAAGATCATTACAATGTTAATACAGTCACAAAGTTAATATAACAGCAATGCTAATACAAAAACAATGTTAATACAGTAACATAACAGTCATCACAAAATATGTGCTATACACTCGGGTTCTGCAAGTGTACATTGGCAAAGTTGTGATGGATCATAACAGTTTTGTTTTTTTAAGACACATGCAAGCTCTTTTGTCCCGCGGTCGACAAAAGTCCGTGCAGCCGTCCATGGCGAATTTGGGAATGGCAGAGGCAACAATTTAGGCAACGGCTGAATTTTTTAATTTTATGAACCAGTTCTGAAAACAAGTAAACAAAAAATAGAAATAATAAAATCAGGTTCCCCACATGACCGGGTCATGTCTGTCGTCCTTGACTTAACTGTCAAATATCTACTAACAGATATTCCAGCTGTGGTCGACGATGACTAAACCTCTGAAACTTAATTCAACGTTTATAATGTTGACTCAAAGTTACTTGACCATGTTTTACCCAATGGAGAGAGAGAGCGCGAGAGGGTTTAGGAAGATAATTCTGGAGAAGGGAGAAAGGGAGGTAGTGAGGAAGGTAGGGAGGGAGGGGGAATGAGAGGGGAGACAGAGACCCAGGCATCGCCGGGTACCCCATCTATCTATGAAGAAAATGTTTGTCTGTTTGTTTTTCCAAAGTTTTAAGCCAGACGCTTTGTGCTAGCCTCACGAAACTTTACATGTTGATGGGTGACTTTATGTAATCTCTAGGGTGGTCGGTGTCGGCCCCGCTGCAACACATACAGGGGAATCGGCCTCTGTACCCCACTTCACAACCTTTAGATTACAGCGATATAGATAGCGTGCATGGAAGACGGTTACAGAGAAAGGGTGATATGGTGAGAGTATGTATGGGTGAAGACAGGGAGGGTGTCTTTAACTAAAGATGCGTGTGGTGTGAAGATGTATTGATGAAGGCAGTGTGATATGACAATGGTTACAGGGATGAAGTGAGGAAAGGAGGGTGTGTGTGGGGGCAGATGGGAGGGTGTTGGTGGGTGGAGACAGAGAGGATGAATATAATTTTACATTGATGTAAGCAGTGTGTAATGAAAATGGTTACAGTGATTTGGCGAGAGTGGGATGGTGTGTTGTGGGGTTTGAGAGGGGTGTGTGTGTTTGGGGATGATTAAGTGGGTATATGTGGGTGGAGATGAGGTTGTGTGGGGGATAGTGAGGAGTGAGTCTGGGGCAGGCAGGAAGTGTGTGTGAGAGGAAACACCTGGGAGGTTATGTGTGGTGGGAGATGAGGAGGGGAGGAGAGACATAAGAAGGATGTGTGTGTTAGAGGCGATAGGAAGGGAGTTGGGAAAGTAGATGGGGTAGACACTGAGGTGGGGGGGGGGACCTGTAAGAGTGAGTACTTTTTTTTAGAGTTGCTGGTATGTTGATAATGTAAGGAATTTGTGATGTATGTCACTATGAAAAATAATAAATATTGAACCACATCCTCTTAGTAAGGCTGGGATAAGCATGTTAATATATAAGCTTCCTTGCTTTCTATTGGTGTCACCTTTAGCACTCACATTCTTACCTCATCTTGTTGACTGGAATACAACACCCACGCTTTCTTTCTTATTATTTAGAGCTCAGCACGTTCCCAGTTATCATTGACAGCATTAATCATCTCTCTCTCTTTTGCTGACTCAGCCTCAGTACTCACCAACTTCCCTTCTCTCAGACACTCCTCATCTGCCTGGTCGCCGTGGCCGCCGCCGCCCCAGATAAAGACGCTACGACAGTGCTGGATAAGCGAAGTGACTCCGGAGACGAGAACTTCCACTACAACTTCCAAACCAGCAACAGAATAGCCGCCCAGAAGACTGGAACCCCGGGCTCCGAGGGCCAGAGCAACATGCAGGGCTCCTTCAGGTGAGCACCACACTTTTGAGGTTGAAACACTGTCAACAGAACTTACTATTATTATTAAAAAATAAAATTATATTAGGAAGCAAAAATATTGTAATAAACACGATTTGCTCCTCAGGTTCAGACTCTCTGTCGGCACTGTCGGTGATGTCCGCTACATCGCCGACGACTTCGGCTACCGCCCCGAGTCTCCGCTGATCCCCACGCCCCACCGTCTCCCTGCCCACGCCGTCGAGCAGATCCGCGTTGCTCAGGAGCAACGCGCTAAGGGCATCACCTTCGACTAATACACACTAATAAGTCGACCTGCCGCACCACATCTCTTTAAGTCTCTTAACCTCCTGTTAAGAGAGATACAGAACGCGTACCTTCAACGTCTAGTGCGTTAGACCCTCAACACAATCAAACGCTGTCATTAGTGTACTATAAATTAAATGTTTGCATTTATGTCTGTTTTCTCCAAATTTATTTAATGCTTATACGATCTTTATCAGTACATCATGTTGGTAATAATTAACTTCAACCCGTAACTTACATGTTCTCGCTTTCATTCCTCATCTACGTGGCTAATACCCCCTTTATTTAATAAAATAAGGTTAGAATTTTAAATTGAAAATCACATGAAACCGAAAGATTTGAAAATGCATTAAATAATTTAAGTTTAGCTTATCTACTACACTTTCGACGACGGATCTGTCAACTATCATTGAAGATATGCGTTTCTAATGCAGTTTTTGACCATTCTTCCATGTGTATTCCTATATTGCACAACAGTACTCAGAAGTACATGGCCATACACTGGAGAATATAGCCATGTATATATTCTCTCTCTTTCTTACTGTTTATCTGTCTTTCGATTGATTCCTGTGTATCTCTCTCTATTTCTTTGAGTATTTAAAATTATGATGTACGGAAAACTACTCAATTTTATACGGAAATTCCACCCCGATTTGTGACCATTAAAATCGCAGGGGATCAGTATAGATTGCAATATTTATAAAACCGTGGTACAGGCGGCGACTCCGGCTGGTATATTACACTCACATAACCCCCATCTGTCATCGTGGAGAGTTGAGTGAGGCTATCCTCAAGCGTCTGGTCTACTCTAGAGAAACAGAAATGCAAATATTATATTTAAGGATATAGCAATAGATACAGATTACGTACCCGGCCCCTCACTAACACACATGGATATTTACAAACAAAATACCATCAAAATGATTCCAGCCAGATCACCGCCCCACACACCACGAATGTTAATGACACTGAAAGCTATCAGTGTGTAAATTGCCATCCACATTTCAGTGTAAATTAACATTCCATTCACCTAATGGAGCTTTGGCCTCACACGCGTGGAGTCCACGGTTCGAGACCCCATACAGCCCAGGTGAATGGAACAGTCAGTGTGCTTATACACACTGACTATACTTATACACATTGGATATTTATACACTGAATGCTTTCAGTGTATAAATATCCAAAACCCGTATTAATTCATATTATATTTTCACACCAAAATAAGTTTTTTAATTTTAAGGAAAATTACTAGACAGGGATTAGGAAAATACTGTTAATATATATAGAAATAATATAAATTTTACAACCAAATTTACTGATGATATGAACTGAATGATAACTTCACTAACCGTTTCACTTGAGGGTTATGCCAGCTCCATATAACAATCTTCTTGCTAGATTGCAAGATTATGTCAACCCCAAGACACTTTAGTGTTGATATAAGCCTTTAACACAATCATTTTAATTTGCTCAATTTGCTTAGCTATAATAACTGTTTTCTTTATTTCAGACTTTCAATGCCTTACTTACCTCAGTCGTGTCTAAAATAATGATGTGTTCCCTAGGTGGTGGTGGTGACATTCAGTGTGTTCTTAGGCTAATCGAGGTCCCGCAAGGCCACCTACCGCCAGTTGCCTAACTACTGGGTACCTATTTACTGCTAGGTGAAGAGCGGTATCAGGTGAAAGGGCCTGCGCGCAGTCATTTCTTTCCTGATTATGTAGACAAGGATGCTCGATGTCCTCTTACGAGACTAAACCTGTAATTACCGTTTACATCTTTCCTGCCACGAAAAAATAACTATTTAGTTTGGAATATTGCAAATTCTGTCAGGAAGTTTATTTTCAAGCGTTTACAAATATATTAATGATTTAAAATTTTAATAATTAAATTCATAAAAGTAACATTAATTACAAAATGTTCTACTTTTCGGAGCAGACAATATTGATATACCATGGATCTTATATTTACCTGTGAAAGACTCCAGGCATCGCCAGGAGGCTTCATATATTCCCAAAGTGTCCTCACATCGCCTGGAGGCACCAAGCATCGAAAAAGAATCTCGAAGATAAGAAAAAATCTCAAAGAGGCTTAATGCACAATCAAGCAATTCCAAGCAAGCTGAAGAAGCTCCATGCATCTTGAAGGGGTTCCATGCATCTTGAAGGGGGCTCCGTGCATTTTGAAGGGGGCTCCGTGCATCTTGAAGTGGCTCCGTGCATTTTGAAGGGGTTCCGTGCATCTTGAAGGAGCTTTATGCACGCTGAAGGAGCTCTATAACCCCAAGCTCTATAACCTATGCACCTCCAAGGATTGAAACACGAAAGGTTCCACAAATCTTGGTAAAGGGTATCTGCAGGAAGACCAAGACTTCAGTAACTGGAAAACCTAAAGGATCTTCTAGATAGATAAACCTTCTAGATAGATAAGATAAACGAAGACAGGGTAGAAAAGTCAGTCTTTTGAACGTCAACCTCACAGACTGTCGTAAGTCTCTTAATTAACAACACAGTCACCACAGTATGATAACTTGTGGAGTATTAAACAAAATTTTAAAAGTACAGACGTTTGCAATATGATTGGTATCAAAGCTAAGAGAGTTAAGCTATGAGGATACGCCAATGGAACTTGATCCGTTCTAGTTCCGTGTAAATTAACATTCCATTCACCTAATGGAGCTTTGGCCTCAGACGCGTGGAGTTACGGTTCGAGACCCCATTCAGCCCTACAGCCGAACCTATGGGTTCGAGACCCCATACAGAATTCCATTTCTAATGGAATTAGATCTTACAACCGTAGAGGACAAAAGCAGCAAAGAGGATGTGATCACAACATACAAGATACTAAAGTGAATAGACAGAGTGGACAAATAAAGCCTCAATAAATTGAGAGAAACTGTGGGAAGAGGACATAAGTACAAGTTGAAAAAAAAATGAATGGAAGAAATAAGGAAATACCCGTAGCTACTACGGGTGGTCAACAAATGGATTGCACTGGAAAAATAAATCGTATAAGCCATCTCCTTGCATAACTTAAGGATAGCTTAGACAAAGACTTCGAACGTCAGGACAGTTACCTTGTAACCCAACAGGTACAACAAGGCCAGTAGGCGGGGCATAAGGAGCTACACCTCACATCCTGGTAGACAGCAATGGGTAAATAGAGTAATAGATGGGTAAATAAGCGTTATACTCAGCTCCTGCGAGTGCATATTGGCAAGGTTGTGATGAATCAAAGACAATTCTATACACATCTGTCGAAAAAAGTGAATTAATCACCGCTGTGTATATTACTCATGCCAGACGCCATGACACAGTATCCGGTCACGATGAAAAGGAAAATGAAGAGGCACTGATTTATGTAGTACCATATATGTGATTTTTTGAATACTAGGAACCTGTTCTGAAGACAGCTAAATATAAACAGAAAAGTTCAAAAAGGTTCCTCCACTTGACCGGGTCAAATCAGGTGCCCCAGCCATGGTGGGGGTATATATAGCCTGTCCCTGGCAACAGGCAGCCATCCTCAGCCGATCTTCACACCGTCAACATGAAGCTTGTGAGTAGGACCAGGACAGCTCAGCTCTTCCTTTGATTTTACATAATTTATGTAAAACATTGAGTATGATACACACAGAAATCACAATAGCGTGATACATAAAATGAACAAATACACAAGGGCCGTGATGAGGGTTCGAACCTACGTCCTGGATGATCCCAGACGCGCCGTAGTCGACTGCGCCACGAAATGAAATGAATTGCAACCGGGAGTGCTACTGCCCTCGCACAGATCCCGCAGCCTCTCCGAAACGTAAAGCGGGATTTTACATGAAGTAAAGGCGAAGAGGTAGAACATCTGGTTAACAGAGCCCGGGTGCTTCGAGGAATTGTGTATAACCCCGGTCTGTGCTTCAGAGAAACTGCGGGATTCATGTGAGGGCAGTAGCACTCCCGGTTGCAATTCTTTTCATGTTGTGGTACAGTCGACTAAGGCGGGTCTGGGATCATCCCGGACGTAGAATCAAACCCTTCACGGCCCTTGTGGATTTGTTTATTGAGTATGAGTTGACATACTCCCGGAGGACTCCCAGTCCTTCCCCGGGAGGTTCTGCAGGAGTAATACTGCCCATACTCCTCCGGGAGTATGGGCAGCCGTTCAGGTTCTCGTGCATCTGGTGCCTTACAACCAGCTGCTCCGGATAGATGGGACTATTTTTTATAAGCACATTTAGGTACATCTGCATTTTTTCATCTCGACAGCTTGGTAAGGCAGCCCATCTAGGGGTAGGAAAACCCTGATCTCAAACCTGCGCTGCCTCGTGGCCATACCCACTTTTGGGACGAGGTTCAGGAGTCCACCTTGAGGAAAAATCCGGAGATGGAGCCCCTAACACAGTTCGTTGTTGACTTCCACCTCGTTCTGGCATCTCCTGTGACGGCGTTAGAATCAAACGAATTGGCATTTGCCTTTACATTGGACAATTTCAGCAATGTAGAGAGGGGAGACCTGCTGCATGGGTAAAAGCGTCACCTTATCGACCTACCCAGGTTTTGCGCCCTGGAAATGACACTCCAGCCTCGGCAACCAGAGTACAACTCCATAGTCTCCCAAAACTGCTGGATGCCTACTACTACTACTACTACTACACACACATATATTGTAATTTATGTCAATGAGAAAAAAAAATACAAATTGAACCTAACATCCTTAGCAAAGCATTAATATATTCTTTGATCTAAAAATCGAGGAAAGGGGATAGGCTTCCTTACTTGTCATTGGTGTCACCTTGAGCACTCACACTCTTATATCCTCTTGTTGGCTCACATGCAATCCCCAGGCATCTATTTCTAGATACAGCGCTCATCAGCTTCCCAATTGTCACCGACAGCATTAATTAGCTTTCATTTCTTGCTGACTCAAGTCTCAGTACTCACTAGCTTCCCGTCTCTCAGACGCTACTCATCTGCCTGGTCGTCGTGGCCGCCGCCGCCCCAGATAAAAATGCCCAAACAGTGCTGGACGAGCGAAATGACTCCGGAGACGGGAACTTCCACTACAACTTCCAAACCAGTAACGGAATCTCCTCCCAGAAGATTGGAAACCCGGGCTCCGAGGGCCAGAGCAACTTTCAGGGCTCCTTCAGGTGAGCAAATGTTTGAAGAATGAACACATATTATTAATAGGTCAATCGTTACTTTAATATTAGAAGACATAAAATTTCATGTAACACACAAAATTACCTTCCTCAGATTCAGCCTCCCCGACGGTAATGTCGCTGAATTGACATACGTCGCCAACGAGTACGGGTACCAGCCCGTGTCCAACCTCCTGCCCACGCCCCACCCCCTCCCCGATCACGTGTACGAACTCCTCCGCATCGCCGAAGAGCAGCGCCGTAAGGGCATCACGTTCGATAAATAAGTACGAAGGTCGACTTACTCCGCAACCTCTCTGTAATTTACTGACCTTGTTCATATATAGCGACTTCGGGACGGCAGCTGCTGGAATGTCCTGCTGCTGGAGAAGAAAGAATTAGAGCTGTCACCATCCAATCATTCATTTACAAGACAAGGAATGGAACTAGATTCTTTCCAACAGTTATTATACTTTATGTTAACAGGTAAGAACTGTACGCATAAGGATCGGACAGATAATTACTAAATCTGAAACTTGAATAATCTTCAGAGTGCTCTTCGCTCTAGCTTTCACTTTGCATAAGTCAAGAAATGAATCCAAGATCTTATGTTATCAGATTTAAAGATAATTAAATATAAATTAAGAGATTATTCATTAATTATTATATAAATTCATGATTCAGTAATAGGGACAATTATCTTCCCTTCACTTTACCATAATCAACAATAATAATTCAAATTCAAAGTCACTACACAGGAAATTGAGACCACCACGGCTGACTGCCCAATGACATTCCACAACATATAATCTTGGAACACAAACTACATCACCTCACACGCAAGCTTAATGAGATCTTTAAGTAAGTTGATTAGAGAGGGTGTGGTTATCAGTCATGGCCCCTGCTGGCCTGGGCTGATCTATGTAGAGAGTAGGATTCAAAGCTGAATCCTCTATGGTGGAGCGAGGATCCTCTATATTCCACAATATAACTGTCGGGGGTATATAACAGGGAACCAAGAGCTAAGCTCCGCCTATAAGAGATAGCCCCCGGCTATCATGCTATCACACCAAGAAAGGCCACTTGCTGGATGGAAAGAACACAGCCACCGTCAACAATTATCCGCTTAGCATAAGATAAGGTCACGTGACACGAGCTGACTTCACCCAATCTGTGAACATTAGTGCCTCTGAGGTGTGACTTTCCTATTGTCAAGGACGGACAGACTGGCGACTGTTTCCTGTGGGAACTGACTTTACTCCTATGGTGAATTTATAAAATAAAACCATTTATTATGTTACAATGAAATCGATTAATCTACGCTGAGCCGTTAACTTTTCCTCGTCTGCAAAACGTCTCCCCATTATGTGTTATTTGGTGATCTATACTCAACTACGGTTCGAATTATACACAAATTCAAATGAAAGGCTTGAAATATGCATCAAATTGTGCTTGTGAATGTGCGCAAGTACAATAATACAGTTCCCGTTGGGCAACAGTTAGTTGCTTCTGGAAGCCTTCCTGCTTTGTGTTGATAGAGCTACCGTCTCTCACCAATAGGGTTGGTGGTCTGAGGCTCCTAGGGACCAAGATGTGGGAGCAATAACCGAACTGAGCAATAAAAAACACCTAAAGCATTGAGCCCCCCCACCCAGCCCTAACCTCCCTTTTTTTTTTTTTTTTTTTTTTTTTTTTTTTTTTTAAGATATATACAAGAGTTGTTACATTCTTGTACAGCCACTAATACGCATAGCGGTTTGGGCAGGTCCCTGGTATACGATCCCCGCCGCGAAGAATCATTGTTACAACCAAGTACACATTTTACTGTTGCATTAAACAGAGGCTACAGTTTGCGTCCAGTAAATCCTCCCTGGCCGGGATACAAACCCATGACAAAGCGCTCGCGGAACGCCAGGCGAGTGTCTTACCACTACACCACGAAGACTATGAACCCTTGACACAACAAGACCCAGAACAACGCCCGAGCCCTAGTAAACACATCAGGAATACCCACCCCACCCTCGATCCCGCACAGCCAACACCAACGTCGAGCGACGAACCAGGCGGTAACGACCGCACCACATGTACCGATAGATCTGGCGTTCCAACCCCAGAGCCAGTCGGGGACCCAGAGGAAAGCACCAAGCCACGAACCAGACTCGCGACAAAACCTTGCAATTAACAAGCAGCGCCCGCTGATAAATCGTCAACGGGCGCGCAGTCAACAACCCAATCGCAACACTGACAATATGAGAAACCGCATCCCAAAGACCGCTCATAGGAAGCGAACCAGGTAATCCCCAAAACATGCATAGAAGAGACAACCGGAAACCATGATCCCATCCACACAGGTCGAGAGGACCACCCAACGTAACCCAGAATACTGGACTTCGCATGATTGACCCGGGGCCCAGTGGCTAACTCAAACCTCTCAACCATGACCTGGACAGCCCCAACAGACTCCTCAGAGGCCACGAACAGGACGGAATCATCTGCATAGCCGCAGATGGGTAACCGAAGACCAGACGACCGCCTTGGGCGATCATCGGACAAGCCTTGACCGCCCGAAAAAAAAGGCTCCTGAAAGAGGACATAAAGAAGCATAGAAAGCAACCCTGCAGCATCAAGCGACGAACAGGGAAAGAATCACTCAAAAACCCATTGACGCAAACCCGACTACAACATTGAGCGTATAACATGCGCACCCAACAAACAAAGGCGGAAACTCAAGCCCCTCTAACACACGAAAAACAAAAGCGAGCGACACACGGTTGAAAGCCTTCGACCAATCCAGACAAAGCATCGCCGCCGACGAGTGAGAACCCGACACGTACAGGAGCACATCATGAAACAACGCATTGCACTGCAACAACGACCGACCCGGAATACCACAAAACTGTTCCATAGAGATAACAGACGCCACAACACGGCGACGCCGACCAGCTAAGACCTTGGATAGGACCTTATAGTCCACATTCAACAAAGTAATGGGCCTCCAGTTCGAGAAGAACCACAAATCACCCGGCTTCGGGAGGAGTCGCACAATCCCAACGCACTGAGACATAGGCAGAATGCACCCCCGAAGACAAGTTCGGACCACCTCCAGAAGAACATCCCCCAACACATCCCAAAAGGCGACATAGAACTCGACAGGAAGACCATTCGAACCCGGCACCTTCCCGGTACGAAACGACCGGACCACCGCGAAAAGCTCTGCCAAGGAAACCTCCTCCACTAGACCAGCACAATCCGCAATGGACAACCCAGGAACGCACCTACCCAAGAAATCCTCTGCAAGTGCAGCGTCCCCTACCACATCTGCATAGAGCGCAGCCAACTCTTGCCGAACATAATGCAACACAACACCGGAGTCCGAAACAATAGTCCCATCCTGTTGTCAGTGCTGTAAAAAGAAGTCCCGCGCAGCTCGCACCTTCCCCAAACGAAATGGAGAGTCGTTCCCTGTCTACACGCTCACTCACACGAGCACCCTCCGCCCACTTACTCCGCAAACCACAAATACGTGCCTTACATTCCGCAATCTCACCAAAATAATCAACCCCAGCATTGAACCACACATACAACCCCGACAGCCGCGCCTGTAACAACCACAGCAATCCAAATCGCCCAGCAACCTCACGTTTGGCAACCACGCGAATGAACAAACAACACTGCACCTTACACCACTCCAAAATAGACGGAAACGCACACCGCCGGGCCCGAACCCCGACCCACCAAACCCGAAACTGACGACAGACCCGCGGACAACGCAACAACCCACAATTCAGCTTCCACCACCCCGCACCTGACTGGCCACACCAACCCGGACCACCACTAAACTATGGTCAGAGAACGCAACCAGGACAGTGCGGAAATCAAACACAGAACACTCCCCGCCAGTAACATACACCCTACCAAGCCGCAAACGCGTCCCACATGCAGCAAACGTAAAAGACAACTCGCCCCCAAAGAGCACAGCAGCGTTCCGGAAACCGCAAGAACGCACTGCCTCCAGCAGCGCACCCGAGACATTCTGTGGGCGAGCGCTACAACAGTCCCGCGCACTCGTCAATTAAAATCCCCCCAAAAAATCATACCCCGCGTATCATGACAAGAAAGGGAGAAGCCCCACCCTAAAAAAACCCTCCCGCTCCCGACGGTGCGCCGCCCCTGAGGGGGCATATACCAATAGGAATGGAATGACGACCCCCAAAAACTCCACCCTCACAAATAACACTCGCCCATCCTCGTCCATCTCCGTGTGAAGCACTGAGAAGGACGCCCTCTGAGAAAACATAAGTGTCCTCCCGAAAGGCGTCCTCGGCGGGTTGAGCACCCCATGAAAATGCACACTTAAACATTGCAACATCATGAACATTATGCTCTTGAATTAGAGCCACATCCACACACTGCTCCAGCAGAACATCCAACAGGCCCAACTGGACCCCAAGAGCATTCAAACCCCGAATATTCAAAGACGCGCATACAACAGAGGGCGCCATCGGGAGAACCTCAGGACACCCTCAACCCGTCGCGACCCCAGGGGGACACCCCCACCACCTGAAGCACACCATGCTGCACATCAGGCCGCACATCAGCCTGGATCCCAGGGCACGCACTGCGGTCGACGCCAGCCACCGCACCGAGCCCCACGGAGAAGCTCTCCGCAGGAGCCCCAGTGCCCCCACCAACCGGAACATTGGCAGAAGCCCCTGACGCCCATCCTTGGATAACACGACCACCAGGTCTCTATCACCAGGGGAACTGACCACTGAGGGGATCCACCAGCAGGGGGCACAACATCCAACACGGAAGACACCACGACGTCCACAGCCACACCACCCATCGCATCACGTTCCTCCGCCCACGTCCGGCGAGGAGACGCGGTCCGAGCTGAACGACGGCGCTGGACGGAATGGGTGTCGTAACCTGCATAACGAGCGTACGAGTGCCCGTACGTATCCCTCGCAGCCGGCCCGCACTCAAAGTGTTGAAGCGGGGAACCACCACCACACAGTATCGCGTAAATACCGACTTCAGCTCGTCCACGGGAAAAGTCACCGGCACACCATGAATGCTCACATATTGCACGGCCCCCCAGGGATCCGAAACCTCTACAGACACAGCCGATTCAGGGATAGTAACCGTACGGGCATCCCAGCGCGCCACAAACTCCCGGTACAGCAGACTCGAGTTGAAGGACACCGCCACCCGAGAAGGTGAGAGCTTTTCCAGTCCTAGCAAATCAAGAACATCCGCACGGAGCCCATCGATGATTGCAATATCCACCAGCGGCCAGTCCACAGCCCCAGAAAAGTCTAAGCACGCCGTGTCAACCCGCCGAACGCGGGAAACACCACCAACAACCATACCGCCAGCCGGGTCCTCCGGCCAGCGGGTGCACCGCACCACAAACCACACCCGCCTCCATTCAACACCAGGCAACAACTGGCAGGTCAGGCGAGCACGTCTTGACCCCCCTAGCGGCCAGCGAGCGAATCTCAGGCCTTCTAGTTGGTGGTTTGGCCAACCAGGCTGTTAGACGCAGCTGCTAGCAGTCTGTCATTAATCACAGCCATATCAGCCAGTGGAATTCTTAATCAAGTTGTCCTTTAAACATCGTGAGTGGTCGGCCAATTACGCCTCTTATTT